CACCCTCCCTCCCTCGCCGCCACCTGAGAAAGCCGCCGGATCCGCTCGTGCGGCCGCCCGTGAAGGTGGCGGCGAGGCATCGGTCGCTCCTTTCCTCGAGGAGGACCTCGGATCTGGGTCGGCGGCCCTTCTTGGCGAGGCGGCGGCGCGTTCTCGGCCAGCGTCGTTCGCGGGTGTGCTCTGGCCGGCGGCCTCGACCACGCGGGTGGTGAGACGACGGCGGGTGGCGGCGGCGGCGCGGAGGTCTTCCCCTCCTCGTCAGATCTGAAGGTGTCTCCTTTCCCCTGTCTTCCTCGTCCCCGCTGCTTCTCGCCTGCCTCCCTCCGAGCGCCGGTATGAAGTGGGTGGGTGACCGGTGGTCTGGTTTTGGGCCGCGGGAAACCGCTGGCCGGCGTGGCCGGCCTGGCAGCAGCGACGTCCTCGACGCCGTCTCCTCCTTGGAGGTGCTGCAGAGGCCCTTCCCCTTTCCACCCCTGCTCCTCCTCCCGGGTGAAAGCCCAAAATCCGGCTTGGATTGGGCGGCGACGGCGCGCTGTGCGTCGTGTTCTTCCTTGGGGGCGCCGCCTGGGGAGGGTTGCGTTCAGGTGAGGGGTTCAAGGTCGGAGCTTGGGTGGCTTGGGTGGTCCGGTGACGGCGGTGTCACGAGGTCCGGCATGGCTGTAGGCGTTCGGCTGCCTGGCAATGCTCCTCGGTGGCCTGTCGGTTCTCTTGATGCCTCTGCTGCCTATCTTCAGTAGCTGCACCTGGTGGTTTTCCTGCAGCTCTCTGGCGTTCTAGGTTGTGGCAATGCGGCAGTCGCGGAGTGCTCGAATGTTCAAGTGATGATGTGCTGCGGCTGCTCCAGGTCCCGAAGCTGACACGTCCCCTGCTCTAGGGTGAGCGTCTCTCAAGTCCGCCGGGTACGGCGCCTTGCGAGCCATGGCGAGAGGGAAGGGTCCCTCTGCGGCGAGAGAGACGGCGGATGTGTAGTGTCTTTCTACTTGGACGTTGGTCGGGCTCACTTACCTCACTCTGTTGCAAGCAGGTCCTCGTCGTGCTCGTGTGTGCCTCATCCCTAGTTGGCCGTTTGGCTGTAGTCTTCGGCTAGGACAAGCTTCGAGCTTTGTTTTCCTGTATTCTTTTTGTGCTTGTGCGACCCGTTGAGTTGTAAGCCTCCTAGAGTGTCCCCTTGTATCGTTTGGTCGTGGGAGTGTGTGTGTGTCTGTATTTCCTGGCCGGTTGATGGCTTTGTTAATTCAAAGCCGGGCTCTTCGCGAGCCTTCGTTCTAAAAGAAAAAAAATTTATAGACATCACAAGAACAAGAAATTTTGCACATAATAGCTACTAAGATGAAATAATTTATGTATATTAAACACAATCCTAGAGCTTCACCGGGTAAAGAATTTTAGCTTTATACTTAGCATGCCCTTCTTGGGAAAACAAAGGGAGAGATAACCAAGGTATGCAGACTAGCAAGTGCCTATGACTAAATTCCGGACCATCTAGTATTTTAAGTATTTTAACAAGACTATGCAGAAGCCAGCTTTTACAATTTCTTTTCAGGCGCGCTGGGACTAAAGTTTACTCAAGAACAGGGGAACTCGTGCATAGAAACCCCTTGGCAATGTTCCTTTGGGTGTTGTTTGTTGACATCGATTAGATTGTAAATAGGTCACCGCTAAAAACTATATCGTGTCATGTTCTTCAGAGTAAAGAATTTTGGGAGTTGGTTACTTTCTTAGGTGATTAAATTGTTCAAAGAATATATATTTAAGGGGGTATCCGACTCGATCAATGACCACATTTCTGTACAGGTGACCAACTAGCTTGTCGACTTACTGAAAAATATTTGGCTGTGACAATCACCATTCATTTGTGGGACTAAAAGAGCATATCTCTGGTACTGCCTATGAAACCTGCATATATAAATTGATCTCATGGCGAAGTGCTTGAAAGGGTACCTTTCAGCATTAAGTAATCCTTACCGTAGTCAAGTAAAGACCCCTTGCTAGATTGAGTTCATCAGTTTATCTGTTCGTCTTTTCCTTTATATAGGACACAACTCATACGTGTAGAAAAAATCATCTCATGGCAAAGTGCTTGAAAGGGTACCTTTCAACATTAAGTAATCCTTACAGTCAAGTAGAAATCTCTTGCCGGATTGAGCTCATCAGTTTTATCTGTTCATCTTTTCCTTTATATAGGAGACAACTTCCACAACTGCATACAGACTAACCGACATGCTAACACATTCTATCATTATTGCAGGTTTCAAATCATGATGTCTGCAGCTGCAGAGCAGGTTGCTGGTGGTTTCTCATCAGCAGTTATCCAGCGTGCTGTTGACAAGGTGATTGACTTCCTCGAGAGCAACTATAATCTGAGCCATGCTACTGAAGAGCTTTTGACCAAACTCCACACAAGCCTCACCATGGTGAGGGCCATAACCGAGGTCGCTGATAACCAGCTTATTACCAGCACTAGTCTTAACAAGTGGCTAAGGAACCTCCATGATGCTGCCTATGAAGCGGAGGATGTGCTTGACAGATTTGATTGTCAAGACATAGTCCTTGGAAAGCGCAAGATGAGCGAGCTCGTTTCGTCATCGATTAGGGCCCTTAAAAGTTTGGTTGTACCTGATGAGGGCATGAACAGGCTTGAATATGTTGTGCAGAAGCTAGATCACCTTTGTGCAACCTCCAACACATTTCTGGAGCTCTTGAGGCAGAGTAGTTCATCATCCATCAAGGAGGGAGCTGGGGGAGAGACTACTTCTCGTGTTCCAGTTGATGTCAAGCTGTTTGGACGCGATGAAGTTCTAGAGTTGATACTGAGAGTTATTTTGGGTTCATCTGGCTCTGAACCAGAATCCGGCAGCATAAGAGCAAAACATGGGGCAAGGTACACCATTGGTGGTGTTGATGTCATCCCAATTGTTGGTATGAGCGGGGTTGGGAAGACAACCCTTGCTCAAGTCATTTACAATCATGAAAATGTGAAGGGTCACTTTGGGCACAGAGCATGGGTGTATGTTTCAAAACATTTCGGAGTGAAAAGGACGTTGCAGGAGATGTTGTGCTCCATAAAAGGAAATGATTCATCTTTTGACCGTGCTGATAGTCTAGAGACAGTTGTCAACAATATTCAAAATGTCATCCGGCATGGAAGATTCTTTCTTGTGCTTGATAGTGTTTGGGATGAGATGTGTGATCAGTGGAGTAGTTTGCTTACTGCCATAGCTGGTGAAGTACCGGGAAGTGTAATTCTTGTCACAACACAAAGCAAAAGGGTTGCAGACACAGTAGCAACAATGTGTCAAGTTCCACTAGCACCTTTGCCATGGGAGAGTTTTTGGTCAGCTTTCCAGTATTATGCTTTTGGCACCACCGGTCCTGTGGCAGAGAACAATCAGACTCTTCTGTTAATTGGTGAGCAAATAGCAAAAAAACTAGATGGCTTGCCATTAGCAGCAAAAGTAATGGGAAATCTGTTAAGATCCAGATTTACCATACACCAGTGGAGAAGCATCCTTGAGAGCGATTGGTGGGACCTGAGTGAAGTTCTTTGTGAAATCCTTCCATACATGGGAATTAGTTATCAAGATCTACAGCCTAGACAAAGGCAGTGCTTCGCTTTCTGTTCGATTTTTCCAGGAAATTACTTGTTTGATAAAGATAGATTGGTCAATATGTGGATTTCTCACGATTTCATTGAACAAAGCAAATCTGGTGGCACTAGATTAGAGGACATTGGAGGTAAACTGTTTGATGAACTTGTGCAAAGATCATTTTTCCAGGCTACATTTGATAAAAGGAGGTACACTATGCACGATCTAGTACGGGCTCTGGCAATTGGTGTTTCTTCATATGAATGTTTTCTCCACAAAGAGACCTCACGCAGAGCATCACCAACTGCTCGCCATTTGGCTCTGCAAGTTAGTAATCAACTGCACATTCATGAACTCAACAAGTATAAAAATCTGCGGACAATCTTACTGTTTGGTCATTGTGACAGTACTGAAATTTGTGATGTTGTTGACAATATGTTAGCCAACTCAAGAAGCATTCGAGTGTTAGACTTATCTTATTTGGAGGTGCTGACAAATATGCCTGCCCACATTTCATCCTTAAAGAAATTGAGGTTCTTTGATCTTTCTTTCACAAGAGTCAATAATTTGCGCAACTTCCCTTGTAATCTTCATGCTTTATACCTCCATGGATATACCCGCAATTCTATTCCTCAAAGTGTTAATACACTTGCCAATTTGCGGCACTTGTATGTTGACGCTACAGCTCTCTCTTTGATTCCTGGTATTGGGCAACTGAGTCAACTTCAAGAATTGGAGAACTTCAGTGTTGGAAAGAGAAACGGATTCATGATAAATGAATTGAAAAACATGCAAGAGCTATCTGGGAAAATTTGCATAAGCAATATCCACGTCATTAAGAACACACTGGAGGCAGCTGATGCCAATATGATTGGGAAGAAACACCTTGAAGCCTTGGTGTTGAAGGGGAGAAATGTATCCAAAGATGTACTTGAAGGATTGCAGCCACACTCAAATCTTCAAGAGCTCATGATCGAAGGTTACGGGGCCACAACTTTACCTAGCTGGATCTTGCAAGGCCACATCTTCACAAAACTGCAGTCTATTCATGTTGGAAGCTGCCGGCTTCTAGCTGTACTTCCGCCATTTGGAAAATTCGCTTCACTCAAGCATCTCACTCTCGATAACTTGCCATCGGTGAAGCATGTTGATGGAACACATTTTGGTTGCCTCCCAAATTTGGAGGACTTAAAAGTTTCTTCGATGACATCTTGGATAGATTGGTCACATGCAGAAGAAGATCATGGCCCTCTCCTTCCACATCTCACAAGGTTTGAACTTCACAATTGTCCTTTACTGGAAAAAGTGCCCAACCTATCATCCATATCTTCATTGTCAGAACTTAACATTTCAGCTTGTGGGAACTTTGCCAAGGCACTGCCACAATATGTAGGACTATTAGCATGTCTCAAAAAATTAAGGATATCTTACTGTGATCACCCACTGCTATTCTCTGGGCATCAGTTGAAGTCACTGGATTATCTACATCTTCGAAAATGTGGATCTCTACGTTTGATTGATGGGCTACAATGTTTTCCGAACCTCAGGGATATTGATGTTCTTGGTTGTCCTGGCATTCTTACTGAATTACAAGACCAATCGGTTAGACAAGATGAGCAGGATTTACTTCATCTTAGCAGTATAGTTACAGATATTAGCTTGCTAAATAAGAACTTTTTTGTCCCCTCAGTGTGTGCTCTGTGCATCCTTTATCTGGAGGCCCTTCATTTTACCGCAGAGCAGGAGGAGTGGTTTGGACAACTAATATCTGTCGAAAAAATCGAGTTTGCTTACTGCTATTTTCTGCAACGACTCCCTTCTACACTAAACAGACTTACCTCCTTAAAAGTACTTAGTATCAGGGAGACAAAACCCCTGTCGCTGGAAGGAGTTGTGCCACAGAACCTCCAAGAATTGATTATGGATGGCTTCGTCATGGAAGACAATTTCAAACCTGGAGGATCGGATTGGCTGAACATCTCTCATGTTCCATACATTCGGCTTAATGGGAAGACAGTCCAAAACCTGTCAATTAATGCTGCTTCATCGTCTTCAAACCACCAAATTTGAGTACCATGTATCTGTTCCCACTGCTTGCCTCTGCCTCTGTACTACAAATAATACGTATCTCTGTAAGCATGCTTTCTGCTCTCTCTAGTTTGTACTATTTGAATGTATATTAGAAGAGGATCCATTACAGAACCACAAATGTTAGAATCTGTAGCTCGGGGATACACATTGTTAGATGGTTGCCAATGGTTTGGCAGCTAGTCCAACCAAAAGGTGGAAGTATTAGAAACATTGTGCAAATTGTTGATTGGTCTGGTGGTTTGTATGGATGGTGATGATGTTAATGTCTAGGTGTTGATTACAGTACTTTATTTTGTAATTCTTGAAATTGTGGGCTGAATTGATTTGTTTTCATTTTTTTTGGGTGCTAAAATTCATGTCTGCTAATGACCTAGGCATTCTATCAACCATTCCTAGTATGAACGAACAGTGGCACTTATATCTGCAATCTCTCCTTTCCAATTCCTGTTTTGTTCTTTCATTTACTTTACAAATTCCAATTTCTGTGACTAGTTTCTAATACTTTGTGATGTGGAACCCTTGTCAGTCTTCTGGGAAGCAAGGTTGCAGCATGCATGGTGAGCTAAAGATCGTTTGCTCCATGCATGACCCGCAGATATGGTGCATGGATAAACTCTGGCTGGCTGGTGCAGAGTGCACCCAGGATAGTCAGTAGTTCCCGAGGAAGGGAAGCTCAGGGAGATCAAGGAGTAGGAGACTGACGACGCGCGCACATGAAGGGCACCAAGGAGTAAGTGGGCTCTCGGACTCTGTTCCGGTCTTCTGTGTTGCTGTTGGGCTCTCGGACTCCGATCTGGAGGAGGATATATGAGGAGACCGTCCTCACCAAGGTAATCAACTTGTTGCTGAACCTTTGGTACTAACTGAACCGTTGTTGCTGGGTATGTACACAGTGAATTGCAAAAAACCACCACATTTGGGGCTTCATCTGTGGAAAACCACCAGGTCGTTAATCATTTGCAAAAAAACACCGCACATTCAGTAAACATTTTGCAGTTTGCACTGAACAGGTGATTTAGCCCATTTAATCATTTTCTGACATGTGGGGCCGGACTATAAGGAGCTGACTTGGCAAAATAATCACACACAGACTCCTAGTAGATTTAAAAAAAAGCAATCAGCCCCCTGGACCATGCCCGGCAGAGCCCGGCTCCCGTCGCCGCCGCAGGAAGACGCCCGCCGAGCGGGCGGTCGCGGAGACGAGGAGTCTGTGTAGCAGCGGGTGGGCACACCGGCCGGCGGCCATCTCCGCAGCCACGAGGGCCAGCAGCGCACTGTCGTCGCCGGGGAGCCGTAGCTCCTGTGCAGCGTCCGCGGCGTGGACTGCACCGAGGTGGCCGCCGGGAGCTCGGCCTTCAAGCCACGGCGGCGCCCGCCAGGATGCCGTGGCCGCGCCTCGGTCTTCTACCAGGGAAGCCCAGCGCCGCTCGACGCCGTGGATGCGGGCCAACCTCCATGCGCTCGGCCGCCGCCGCCGGCGGCTCCGCCCGTCTCCGGCGCCTCCTCCCCTCCTCCTGCACCCCACTCTGCCCTTGCTCGCGCAGCCGCAGCGGAGCGTCCACGCCCGCAGGAGAGCCCCGCAGCCTCGTGCGCACGCGCCACCGAGCCTCGCGCCGCTCCGACCGGACTTCCCCGTAGCTCGCCACCGCCAGTTCACCGGGCACCACCGCAGCCCCTTCTCCCTCTCTTTCCTCCCGTGTCTCTTATGCAGCTCCCCCTCTCTCTCCAGGACGCTGGCCGAAGCCAGATCCGCCGCCGGCCATTAGCCGCAACCGCCGGGAACAAGCTCCCCTGTACAAGCCGGTTATGAGCTCGTACAGGCGCGCAGCACCACGACCATTCCCGGCGAGGGTGGAGCGAGGAAGGAGATGCCCTCCGTGGGGGAGGGGTAGGGGCTTGATTGCTTTTTTTTTAAGATCCAGGGAGGTATATGTTAATTTGTTGCCAAATCAGCTCCTTGCATTCCGGCCCCACTTGTCAGAAAGTGGTTAAACGGGCTAAATCACCTGATCAGTGCTTTTTGCAAAAGGTTTACTGAATGCACGGTGATTTTTGCAAATGATTAGCGACCTGGTGGTTTTCCGCAGATGAAGCCCGAAATGTGGTGGTTTTTTGCAATTCACTCGTATGTAGAAAATGGAACACCGTTTGCCACCTCGTGCGAGAATTCAACATTGATTCTTGATAGTTCTGTACCAAAAAGGGAATTCTAGTATTGCGATCAGAGTTGGTATATATACATTCTTGCATCTGAGAAAAGCTGGTACGAACTGGTTGCAGGATATGCGCGGCGGGATGTTTGATCCAGATGGCGCTGCTGACGGTGGACGATGCCTGGAGCAGCACGACCGGTAAGCTTTGCATCTGCATTTGCTTCATACTACCATGGAACTGATGTCGTGTACCAAACTGAACCGATACAGACTGGACTGATGGTGTACCTGTATGTATGGTACAGGTGCAGGGGAGGTAAACAACATGTTGTTCAGGTAGAAAGAGGGAGGATTCAGATTCAGCCATGTCGGCAAGGCGACCATGGCTCTTCACGCTGTCCTTGATGTGTTCAGACTTCAGACCACCTGGTCGGCAAGCTGTGTAGGTGACTACTAGCCGATCATCAGTTTTGTTATGTTCCCACTCATATATAGCTTTTGTTACACGCTGTCCTATTCTATTCGGGTGCTTGATATATAATCTGCACAAGATCTGAAAGCAAGCTGGTTGATGCATGTTTGTCAGCTTGTAGATGAACCAACTTCCGAAATTCTTCTCTTGTTCATGAAAAATACTCGTGTTATTCAGCAAACAGATATAGCTCGTCTTACATTGGGCACGCCCTTTCCCTCCTATGAAACGCGCACCCTCTCTTTAGATGCTTTGGGTCGGCCATTTAGGTTTTCAGTGTTGTTTCGGCAAGCTTTTGAAAGCTTTCATCCGGTTATTTTCTCATTTATATATGACTTTGTCTCCATGGTTTTTGGCGATTTTTTTTTGGATTTTTTCATTTTCCTTTTCTTTTTTTATCTTTTACCTTTTCAAGTATTTTAATTCAAGACGTCTAAATTCAAGATTTGTTTCCACAATATGGGATAATTTCTTAAATTATCGAATATTACTTTAAGTTAATAACATTTTTGAAAATGTGCAAGCATTCTTGGTTAAACAAACAATTAAATTTTAGATCGCTTTAAGCAAATTTGTATTTTTTTTAATTTGTGAATACTTTTTGAAATTCGGAATCATTTTTATGTTCCTTAAAATATTTTTTAAATTCAAACTCATTTTTAAATTCTTATATAAAATAATGAATATTTTTTTGAAGTATGTGCATTTTTTATTCTACAATATTTTAATATTTTGTGACCATTTTAAATTGCTTGAATATTTTAAATTGACGAACTTGAATAATTCGTTATTGAATTGAATCGACAAACATTTCGTAAAGTTCATGACATTTTTTTTTTATTTCTGGACCCCTTTCTGATATTCATGAATTTTTTTTAAAACTCTTGAATATTATTTTTAGATTCACGGGGGGATTTTAAATACTTGAAAATTTTGAAAATCTGTTAACATTTACTAAATTCGTAAACATTTGTTACAATTAGTGAACATTTTTTTTCATGATTTTTCTAAATTTGCAGAAGTATTTCAAATTCTTAAACTTTCTTAATTCATGAAACTTCTTAAGATACATTTCATCACGACTTGTATGTAAGTTTTTTAAGTTAAGTTGTTACAAGAAATTTATTTGTTTCTGACAGTACGCAAAATGGTTCTCGGGAATAAAATATGCGCGAAAATGGACGTCAAGGAAAATGGTTCTCAGGGGAAAAATATGTAGCCACCATGTTCTTTACACTATTGTAAGAAAGTGACGTCAAAGATAAAAAAATCGAGCATGATCTCAGGATTTAATCGAGCATGTTCTTTACGCTGTTGTCGAATATTGATGGTTCCTCGACCCGCATACGATTCCTCGATGATATATTGTGGTCCTGTCTGAATAATTCCAATCTCTTTCTGCTCCATTTTTGTTTTTCTCAGATCGGAGGATAATTAGCTGCCTGCCGATAGGTTATACTCCTACTATACTATATAGGTTGGGTCAACTCGATCCTGGACCTCCCTACTTACTTTGGTTACCTTTACATGCGCACATCGGTGCCACTGCTTTGGTAACCAGTGTTCAACACTGCTCATGCATGAGCGGCGCTGAGGCATCAACAATCTCTTTTGTGAAATGAGGTCCATATATGTCTTCCAAAAGTAGAAACAAGCAAAATGCCACAACGGGGTTGATCCTACAGCTTGCATGCATGTGAGCATGTCGTTTTCCTTTTTGTCATTTCATTCATGTTTTGTACATCCAACCATTCCACTAAGAACATTATTTAATACAGGGTGAACTTTTTATAGATATGTGTTCAACATTTTCCGAACACATGTTGGAATTTTTTTAATACGTGGTAAACTTTTTAAAACACACATTGAAGATTTTTAATGAATGCCATGAACATATTTTAAAAACATGCAAATAATTTGTTTAATTGTTATAACATTCTTATAAATGTGTCTAAAATTTATTTGAATGGCAAAATTTTTATATTTTGTAAACATTTCCTTAATAATTTCACAGTTTTTTTTAAATGCGTGAATATTTTTTAAATGTCTTAAATACTTTGGTTGAACGTTTTTTGAATGGTACGAACCATTTATCCTATTACATAGTCATTCTTTTAGCTTTGTATAAACATTTTTTAAATATTTCAAACATATTTTTGAAGCACATGCTTATTTTAATGCTATCAACACTTTTTAAGTTGTGCAAACATTCTTTACAATGCATGAATATTTTAAGAGCATGATTAACACTTTTATTATTTTCTGTAAATTATTTTTTGGAATATATGGATCAAGATTATTTCGAAAAAATGTAAAAAAGGAACAAAAGAATAACGTATGATAGTAACTAAAAC